GATCAATAAAGTTCAATTATTGTTTTGGAGGAGAGAGCAGCTGTCCAGAGTAGAGCTGCTGAGGTCACTTCCCTGACTATGCTAAAAAGATAGATATGATGCAGTGATCCGTTTTTAACCCCCAGAGGGCGCCAAACGGATAAGTTTTAGACACCAGTTAGATGTCAAAATAATGCACAGGACATGAGGACAGGACTATAAGACATCTATTAATACGGTTTATCAGAGAAGTTACTTTATTGAGGGAGACTAGTCCTTTAAATAATCTATGAAAATATCTTATTTATCAGCCCTTTAAAGAGTCACTGCCTGCATTCATTACTCTATGTCAGCAGTGATAGAGGAAAGTGAGTCTGTTATATTTCTGTCAGTCTGCCATAGTGTTCATTCTAACTTCTCATTTCCAGTTTGTGGCTCTTGGCTTCAAGCCTTCTGGCTCCTGCAGCTCTGCTGTGGTTCCCCTCTCATCCATTTTTAATTCACATCGTATTAAAGAGCCAACTTTTTCTTGATCGTAACCCAAAACTATCAAAGTAAAAGAGCCTGCTGATGTCTGTCTGGTTTCAAGGTGGATCTGGTGAAGGCTAAGGACAGGCTGCTGGACATCACAGCTCAGCTGACGTGCGGAGTGGTGAACGGACGCAGAATGCGGGTCAGGCCGGTGATCAAGCCACCGTGGGCTCAAAAGACACCTGAGAGGGCTTCTGAGATCCCCGCCGATGAGGACGCCGCAGCACCTGAGGACGACGCAGAGCTGAACTCTGTGCTGAGCAAAGAGAAACTGAAGGAGCTGAGAAGTCAGCAGGGCTGGCCTCACTTTAAGGACGTCTTCATGCTGTCGTCTGTGGACCGAGAGGATGTGGAGACGCTGAAGGTAAACAGTCTGTGGCCACCGCAGGAAAGGAGCTACAGCAGATGTAAAAAGTTATTTAGCTGCACTAGCTGATGATCCATGTATGTAAAATGTCTAAAGAGGTGGATTCCAATAAATGGGGTCCTATGATCTTCTTCAAAATAACATTTATTAGAGATAAAGCATATCTGTGCTGCAAATCTATAAAAGTAGATCTTTGGCTGTTAGTACTGTTTATGTAGAGTTTACGCCGCTATTAAGCTGGTTGGTGGAAATATTCATCTACTTGGCTGATAGTTGGAGTTTTGGACTTCGTCTGCTGTTATTTTTTGGGTCAGAAGCAGAAAAGTTTGTGAAACACAGCAGTTAAGTCCTGTTTTTAACATCATTCAATAAAAAAAATTCAGTCCCCATCTGAACACTATTTTATTTCAGTCATGCTTCAGCCTAAAAATGTTAAGTATTTAATGTGCTAGACCAATGAATAAAGCAGTGGATGGAAAAATTAACTTTTTTCTTTTCAGACAGTGTTGCAGTGTGTTCACCATGAGTCAGTACTTTACAGATCCACTTTGTGATGCAGTTATAGATGAAAGTGTTTGGGCGTCTGTCTCTACTAGCTATGGACATCTAAACTCTGGGATATTTCTCCTGCTAACATCAGTTATTAAGTTGTTTTATAGGTTTAGCTGCAAGATCAACCTCTGCTCCAGGATCAAAACCTTTCTAACCTGTTAACAGGTTTTATTTTTGCATTCTTCTCCAACCGTCCCTCTTCTCATCAGCTCTCATCAGTTTTCCTGTCTCTATTAAAGAGAAGCTTTACCACTAAGGCTGAAACCATTATTCTGATCGATTGGGATTAATCGACTTTTGAAATATTCATCAACTAATTTGGTAATCTAACCAAATCCTAAACTAGAGTAATAGTACACTGGCTCTAAAACATAATTTGCTTATAAGGAAACCCTTCAAAGATAACCTGTACACATAAAGTATAAATATAAAGTGTGCAGTAAAGATTCTTTTTTTCTACTTCCCATTGTTTTCAAATGTTTGCTTATCTAGAAATGTTAATACACTTAAAAAAAATATTTCTAGGTTAATCAATTAGTTAAAAAAATAGTCGATAGATTAATCGATTACTAAAGTAACCCATTGTTGCAGCCCCAATTCCCATATCATAATGCTGCCACCACTGTGCTTTACTGTAAGGGAGGATATGTAAGAGGTGTTAGTTTTTAATGATTGAAAACCTTTTATATCATTTAATTATTTTAATTTAAAGCATAATTGCCTTCTACTTTACAGCAACTTCAAACTTCTGCATCCAACTCTATGAGACCATCAATGACACATTCATCTTGATGCTGGTTAACCTTCCTTACAACATGTTTTTTGTTTCTTCTTGCAGAGCTACTTTCTGGTTGCAGCTAAGCCTGGATCCTGGCAGTACCACAGTGAGGTCCTAACAGACCAGAGTCCAGAGGAGGTCTGCACTAACATCATCAGAGAAAAGCTGCTGGAGTATCTTCCACAGGAAGTGCCCTACTCCATGACGCAGGTGAGACTGGCTTGTTTTCTGCTTTGTTTCTCTCTATGTTTGAAACCTAGTGGTGAGTTTTGGTATGTGTGTTGCAATACGATACGTGTCACGATACTTGGATCACCATACGATATTATCACGAAATTGCAATATCACTATATGTTGGGGTGTTTTACCCAGCTATCAAAATGAAATGTATAGATAAAAAAAGCATCAATTTATACATTTGAGTCAGTCCATGTCTTCTACTGTGACTTGCTTCAACTACAGAAATGGTTCTGTGCCGCACAGCAAAAGGCTCTAAGGATCTATGGGTGTGGGGAAAATCGATTTGGCGATATATCATGATTTCTTTTTTTTTTTTTCCCCAACAGTGATGTGGCAATATGGCAATAAGAATAATCGTTTTGATGCCAAAAGGACCCAAAAGATTTTGCTCTCACAAGTGGAGCAGTATGGCTATCACCACTGATCCGCTTGTTTCATGCATATTAATAGCTTTATTATAATTATGCAGGAAGTATTACAGATTATATGGACACTGCAATGTAGTTAGAACAGGAAAGGAAAAACAGAAAAAAGGAGAAAAGATGAAAAAAAGAGGAGATAACTATAAAACATCTTCTGTCTGCTTCATTAACTGCAAAGAGATGTAAAAAGAAAAGCACAACCAACGGATAAAGTATAAGAGATATAATAAATTAACACCTTGACACTATCACTGATGATGATTTTCAGCTGCCTAATATAATATTGACCTTTCAGTTCTTACTAGCGATTAAAAAAATATTTTTACCTAAAACAATAAGGGAAAATGGGCTTCCTTTGCACCGCCTTTTTTGCTGTGTATATAGTGATATTGGAATATCGTGGCACATATCGTATCGCAACACACAACTACCAGAGTGACGGTGTAGAGGAAGCCCATTTTCCTTCATTGTGTTAGGTCATTTTTAATATTTTTTTTTTTCAAATGGATATTAGGAACTGAAAGATTGATATTATATTGGGCAGCCGTAAATCACAATATTATTGCCAAATCGATTATTTCCCCACACCCCTACTGAAATCACACAGCTGTTTCCAATGTTTGGGCATTTGGTTTCAAAATCTGATTTGTTCTATTTGTTGCCTCTGATGTATTTATGCGTCAGCCTGATGCAACTTTAAGAGTTTTCTTCTAAAAGCGATAATATAAGAACCTCTGATCCCTGTTTTAATCTCTCTAGCTTTATTTTTACATGTCAGTTTCTCTAATGAAGAGTCTTTGCTTTCAGTCTATTGAACTCTGGCAAGATGGAGAAAACGGGGAGCTGGATATCTCTGTGAAACTCTACACCAAGAAGGAAACTCACATGGTAAGTCCTCCTCACACTCATCGTCACATTTGACTGGAAGACTCTGGTCCTTCCACATCCACTGGCTGGTAGGACTTTGTGTTTACCAGCAGTTCAGCCTGTTTAGACATGCTATCATTAGCTGTGGCAGCTGTCCAGCAGCTTAACCCCCGCTGTCCGTCTGCTAGACGGAGACAAACGTCCTGGACGGTGTAAACGTCGGAGCCTTTGGCCTGGATGCGCAGCTGCAGGCTGTTTACAGACGAGCGTCACACAACTATGCTGATGTTAGCGCTTGTTTCTGAGGAACCTTTAAGTGTTGCCTTACCCAGTTAGCCTTGGCTATGCTAGCAGGCGTGTTTGTGAGGTTTTGTTTAGAGCATTTATTTTATGCTTCATTTTTGTTTATGTGTCAGGAGCCAACGTTGAAGCGTTTGTGTTCATATAGCATCCATTCAAACGCAGACGTTTGACCACCACGACGAAAAGCGCTGGATAAACATGTCAGCAAAAGCACCACAGTTTTTCTTCTGTCATCGTTTTGTTTGATTAGTTACAGAAAATGTCATTTTTGTTTGGACTATTCTAGGAATCTGAGGTTCACAGCTGAATGAATGAATCCCTTGTTCTCTCCAGTGGTAGCCTCTCTCCTGGTCTTCAGTATATCTTTTTTTTACCATTTCCTTACACGTGCATTTCTTTTCTTGTGTTTTTAACTCCTAAATATTTAAATAGCCTTTTTGGACTGCATATCAGACGAGGAAGAACATGTGGATACATCTTTCAGGGCTGCTACAGGAGGATTGACATTTTTTCCCTGGATTGATTGATAAAAAGCAAATTGTAGGTCTGCAAACTGATCACTGATCCTCAGACTAAAGACTCTCTCCATTAATGAGTATATTTTTTAAATCCAAACATTATTCTCTGTTTTAATTTTTGGAATGCTTTCCCCAAACTTTCATTCAGATGAAATAGTGCTGTACATGGAAAAAAAAAAAGATAATACAGAGAAAACTACATTTCAGTCGCTTAAAAATGGCAAAAGTACAGAAAATGAATAACACTGAACTTCATAGGAAATATAAAGAAAACATTTAAGTTGGTAAAGTGATAAATAATAAATAAATAAATCATTGATGGATTATTGAGATAATTGTCAACTAAATTAGTAATTGATTAATTATTAACTGGTTTTTAGAGACTCTAAAAACTGCCTTTACATGACGGAGCAACACACTTAGAGCACTAATTATAACAAAATAGTTTGTATTTTAAGAATTAAAAAAGAAAAATGTTTTCGTCTGTCAGTATGCTCTATTCAGAACTCCTCAAGTGGAAACGTTTAAGTTTCACATTGTTTAATTTAATTAAAAAAAATCCTCTTTAAGGAACCTTTTACTGTCCGACTATCAATCAATTAATAGCAAAAAAAAATCAACAATCAAGCCCTATGTTAAATTATTAATGCAGATGAGGCAAATGTGTTTGTATTATGATGTTATTAATGTTAACTCTAAATACTGTTTAAATGTTTCTCCCTGAGGAGGAGGTTTCCTGGAAGTCTCTTTCCATCCCGTTCTCTCTAAGAAGTTTCTCGGTAGCCGATCTGCAAACCCAGAGAAACACTTTATTCTTTAATGTTCCAAAGTCAAATAACCAGAGGATCAAACTTTTCTACATCTGGGTGGAGAATCTGATGCTTTTCTACCAAGTCTGTAGCTTTTCCCCTTAAACCAGCAGTTCCAAAGTGTGAGTGGGTGGGGGTGGGGGGGTTGGGTCGAGGAAGGTGATTTTTAAAAGAAAAAGCTTCATGAAATCTTTGATTCCATTACAGTGGAAAAAAAACAGTTAAACATGAAATAATTTGATGTTGGAAAAAGTTAGTTTTGTGATTTTTAAAGGAGAGTAAAGTTTATTTCATTGCAATATGGTCGACTACAATTGGATTTTTTTTTTTCTTCAACTGTTGAAAACTTGAAATTGAAATACTTTTAAATGGAGTCGGAGGCATCTTAAAAATGTACATTTAAATATAAAGGAACACCAGCCAGAATAAAATGGTGTTACTATTATGCTGCGTTCAGACTAAACATGTTCTCAGTGTTAAACCCGAATGCCTCTCAGACACTTTGGAAGATTGTTTTTTTAAATCAGTGCGGTTTAACCTCTTAATACATATTTTCTAGGGCTGAAACAATCCAATTAATCTATTATTGAAATAATTGTCAACTAACTTGGTAATCGATTAATCATTAACTGAAGTTTAGAGATTGTAAAATTTGCCTTTAGGTGACACAGCAACCAACCCTTGAGCAGTAATTATACCCAAATTGTAAAAAAAAATATATAAACATTTTTCATCTAGGATAAAAAAGCTTTTTATTTGTCCATCTGCTCTATCCAGAACTCCTCAAATGTAAAGCTTTAGTTTCACCTGGTTTAATTTCATAAAAAATCTTTTTCAAGGAACCTTTTGCAATCCGATTATTAATCGATTAATTGAAAAAATAATTGACAGATCAATCAATTGTAAAATAGTTACAGCGCAAATATTTTCAGTTTCATGCTGACAGCTCTCATGATTGCAGCTTTCATGTAGTCTGTCTCAGCTTCTCTGATTGGTTGACGCTCAGGATCAGGACACAGAAGGTCAGATTTTCCGACTTCAGTGTCCGCCGCTCTGGATGCCTGACCTCCGCGATCCTCACTGGCGTCTCCCATTGACTCTGCATGTAAATCAGACGCCCTGAAGTTTTAATGCTGCACTTTACCAGGTTTATGTTTGGGAGGAGAGCAAAAACGGCTTCATAATGATGATGCTTTAGTGGTGTTAATGGTTGCTATGGAGACAGGATGCTGCCCTTTGCTGCAGGTCTTTAACAGTGAATGCTGGAGATTTGTCACCTTGTCCGGGTAAACCTGATAGCCATTACCTGATGGATTAAAGCAAGGATTCTGTTTTATTTCTGCTTCAACTTAACAGGAAGTGATGGATTACTGTTTAGAAGTGCTGTAAACATGAGACTAAATGTCAGATTTAAAATGTTGTCTTTAATAAAAGATTAATTTATTTTAAAGCGTTTTTACACGTCTTTATCAGTGGGGCAGATAAATTGATTTTTTTTTGTTTCCTTTATCAGCTTGATTCTACTCTTTTGAATGCATTTCAGGTTTTAATTTGATTTTGAGTCATTAATCCTTGTTCCTTTTCTATTTTTAGAGGATGGTGATCGGCACAGCGGGGCAGATGGTGGCACGGATCGCCCGGGAGGCAGCGGAGGACCTCAGCAGGGTCTACCTGAGGGAAGTAAGGCTGAAGATCTCTGCTAAGCTGAAGAATTGAAGGATCCTGTAGAACTAGTTCTGCTAGATCTATTGTTTGGTAAAGACAGAGCTTCAGCTAAAGAGGTTATGATCTCATGATGAGCCTGACTTGCTGCCGGGAGGCAGCATATGCTTCATCTCCGCTCCAAGAACTGCCGCTGACCTGGCTCCCGTCTGAGGAGAGAACATTTTACTCCTGTTTTATTCCTGGAGGCCCTTCATCATTATTTAACCTGTTTACAGGGCCGTGCTGCTGCACTCAGAGCGATGAGAGCCCAAATTTCATGGAGACAAATCTAAACGCTGCAGTAAAAAGAAACAGCTGAAGTGTTGGCATATTTCTAGGCTCCGATACCTTTCTGGTAACAAACATGACACGGCGGCTCATCAGATGGATGTTTTGACACGACTTTGACGGCTCCTTCATGGCTGAGCGGCTTTGGCAGGCTGTGAAAAGGCCGACGTTTTATCTGTGGCTCTCAGGGCTTTTTCTTCTTCTTTTTTTTTTTTTTTGGCGGGCACAAACAGGCGCTGTAGATAAAGTGACGGGCGAGGGCTGCACCGTCATGTTCACTCACATGCCCCTGATGTACCGTCCAACCCAGCTCCCTGCGCTCCCTTCATGGCGTTAGCCTCCTCGGCTGCCCTTTGAAGTGTAGCCATCCATCTCTACGACCATCACTTTTTGTTCTGCTGCTCCCCCCCCCATCCCGTCCCTCAGTTCATGGCTCGCTCTGCTCTTTTGGCTCTTATAGAGCTCAGCTCTGCCTCCGAGGGCTGCATTGTCTCCCTAATGGATGGCAAAGTGGAGCACTAACTGGATGCTAAATTGGGTCAGATAATCGGGATTAGATTCATCCCTGCTGCCCGTGGGTTTAACTCAGCAGTTCAGGGCATCTTGATGAATAACCAGCTAGCGTCCTGAAGTCAGGGAAGGAGGGAGTTACCAACAGAAGCTGTGTCAGACCCTGAAGCTCTCTGAACAGCTGCTACCCACTGATTTGACAGCAAAGCTCGCCAGCTTAGACGAGCCAACTGCAGTTTAAAAGCAGAAGTCATTCAGACACAGAGAGACACTCATGTAAGCGGGAGTCTGATTCTTTATTTAAGGTAATTCTGTAAAATTCAACAAAGCGGCGTTGCGTCGTCTCCTCCGTCGATATTGAGCGAAGGCCGTAGAACCCTTACCATTACTTAAACTCAGTAATGGTAACGGTTTAACTGCCCCCCTCGTCTGCGTGTTCGGCCCCCTCGCAGGTTCAGCTCTCCTCTGTCGCAGGCGGAGGTGGAATGAAAACCCTGGATAGTACATCATCTATACTGTAGTGTCTCTTTAAAAAACTTACAGTATAAGATGATATCCTGTCCAGGGCACAAGACAGACCCGTAGTCCTCCTTCAGGGATAGTTTGGATGGAAATCATCTGACAACAAATAGATGAGCTCCTGCCTGAGCTGCTCTCACCTGTTAGCATGTTGTCGTCTGGTTCTCTCGTCTGGCGCTCTGTCTGTTGGGCTGCGACACTTAAAGAGGGGCCCTTCAGCTCATTAGCATACGGCGATGACATCTGGGGTGGACCGGAGAGCCTTTTTTTTTCCTCCTTATCTTCTTTCAACCTGATTGCCACAGTCCAGTAATGGTCCCCACCCTCTTTACAACACCCAGCAGCAGAGAGACGCTTCAACTGTATTCAGTTTGGAATGATGCGTTGCTTTTGTCCTTGTGTCTCCCATCCCTCGCCAGGTCGTTATTGTATAAAAATAACTTCACTGATAAAATAAAGGTTTTAAAAAAGAAACAATGAAGTCTGCTCTTATTCTCACCTGTTAAATGTTTTATTTCTGCAAAACACCAACAAAATAAAATGATTGTGAGCGCAGCCTGTTACTTAGATGCACTACTGTGGTTCCCTGGCATAAAAAAAGGATCCATACTCAGCGAATCTGAACACATCACAGCAAGAAACCTCTGTGTATTTTATGTGAATCACTAATTAGGGAATAAATGTGAAGAGTTTAATAATTAAATCAGTTTATTTTAGATTTTTCAGTGTGAAAACTTTTCAAAGTTACTTTATATTCAGCCCACTTTACTCCGATATTGTGAATCGTAGCAACCATTTTATTAGTTTATTAGTGACTAAAATAAAGCTTCAGTTTAAATCCAGCTGATCTGTAAATTCTGATGACTGCAGTTCAGCAAAAGTCTGTTAATCAGCTATGAGTGGAAATCAAGCAGAGAAACCTCTAAAACCTGAACCTCCGTCCTCTAAAGCAGACATGTCCAATGTTTGGCCTGAAGGGCTGCTGTCCTGCAGGCTTCCACTGCTCATTTCCATAGACGGCTGATTAACAGGGTTTTTGCTGAAATGCAGCATCTAAAGCAGAGAGATATTAAAAACCTACAGGTCAGTGGGGCTTAAAGACCAACTTTGGACATGGTTACCATAGCGGCGTGTTAGATAATAGTGATGAACAAATGGTTGACCAAGAATAACAGGAAAGGTCGCATAAAATCTATTTTAAATCCAAACTTTGTTCCTTATGGGTTCTAGATATGATTCAGCTTCTCCTATATAATATTATAAACTCATGGAGTCAAACGGCAACCAGCTGACTAAATGCAAACATCTGCAAAGCTTTCCTGAACCTCTGAATGGTCTCAGTCTGGGTCAGAAGGAGATAATTATGACTGATCAGATATTACGAGGACACCTGAAGAAGCTAGTTATTGTATTTCTATCAAGTGATATTGATAGAAAGTTGAGTGGAGGGAAAAAGTGGTAGGAAGTAGCGGGATGTGTTCTGCTCTGGCATCAGGAGCTGCTACTCACAGGCTGCAAATGCTCCACTTCATGCTAGAAACGAACATCAGAAGCTCCTGACCTGGGCTCCGCAGAGAAGGACTCTGGCTCAGTGTTTCAAAACCATCTGTTCCAAATGAAGGTAAAGTTAGACTTTGACAGATTTTATTTTGTCATTTTGTACACACAAAAGAATTTCCTTAAAGGAATAGTACACCCAAA